TATAATTTTTGTATAAAATATATAATCTACCACAAATTTTGTAATGTAATTTTTTATTCTTCCATAAATGAAATTATTAAGTAAAGGTTATTAATTGCAATTATACATGTCACTTTTATACTTATTATAGTTTCTTTTCTTTAATTTAAGTTATACTTTGTGTAATGGAAATTAATATTATTTTGAATTCTAACAGAATAATTTATAAATTAGAATTATTAAATTTCAATTATTTGTATATAATTGAGACATTAATTGTCTTAATTTTTTGCATAATTGTCTTTTATTTGAAGAAAATTAACTTTATTCTTTAATTACATTTATATTTTATAATATAATTAGTAATCAAAATATATAACAAATAAAAATTCATGTACAATGCATGTAATAATCAATCTTAGTAATAATTTTATTAGGTAATTTTTAAATTACACTCTATAAAAACTAAAATTTAATTTAATTTAATAAATTTTACTTAATTGTTAATAAAATATTTATTACTTATATATATTTACTTAATTTTTAATAAAATATTAAAAATATTAAAACTACTATATATTTTACCATGACAAATTAGAATTAATTCATGCGTCCTGAACTTAAATTTTTCCCGATCTAACATTTGGCTAGGGATGAGCATTGACACTGTTGGCTTCTAAGTGAAGCAATCTATATAAATCATAAAACATGATATGTGTACATATGGACGAACAAAAAAAATCAATTGCTGGCTTATCTATAGTACGTGGTAGGCTTGACCTAAATGGAATGATACGTTCGAATTTGTACGTTTGCTCAACTCTTTGAAATTTTTACTTGGAAATTTAAATTATACTCATAAATCATGTGCTTATAATTGTGTCTTCAGGCTTATATCAAATCATCAATAAGACTTTATTTGGTTAATATTTTTATTTTTTACTTATTCTTATTTGTCTTTTATTTTTTTTCATTTTTTGTCAAAAATATAAAAGTAAAAAGTAAAAATATCGATATAATGATATCAAAGTATTAATTTAAGAGATTTTAAATACAAACAGATGAATATCACTTCACTTAATAAATTAATTTTTTGAGTTGAGATTCAGACAAATGTATATAATAAATGATATTAGAATCAAAGTATATAACATTTTGTTTAAGGGATTGATTAATACTATATAATATTGGTGGAAAGTAACTACAGTCAGGTAAACCTTAATTTTCTACGTCTCTTTAAATATTTAGCAATTTTAAGTGATGCATCCATTCTTTATTTAATTTCTTTTTTTTTTTTTGAATATTGCTCTCATTGCTTTGCTTTAGCCGCCCATGCCATCTTCAAACTCTAGTTTTGCGAGTGCAAGCTGTGTGTCACGGTCCTAGAGGGAATTGTGAATCTCAGATAGGTTGTGTATTGAAATGAAATTAGATATTTAAGTGTTTACGTCAATTTCAACTTGTAAAAATACTTTTTGTAAGATAAAATCGTAAGCTTTAATGAAAAAAAAACAAGTAATACTTTGTAAATTGATGTGAACTTTGACAATTAGTATCAAAGTCGATTTTGAGATACTAGCAATATACCACTGAGGATAGCGGACCTTAGGGAGGATATCACAGGATACTAATAATGTGTAGCTGAAGACAATGGACTTTGAGAAGAATGTCATGATTTTAAAGAAAAATTGTGAATTTCACATTGATTGTGTAATAGAGTGAGATTGAGGATTTAAATGTTTACACCAATTTTAACTTACGAATTTCCTTTATGAAATAAAACTGTGAAATACAATAAGTCAAAGTAGATGATATTAATTTTACAATTGATGTAGACCGTAACACAATGTTTTGTGTAGCCACAAAGGTGGGGGTCCATGTTATCATAAATTGACATAGCTCCGAAAATTACCAACTGATTGGAAGACTCTGCCAGTTGAACCACGCCATCCATTCCATTCCATGTAAGGGTAAGAACATTGTTGTCCTGTATATCCTAGAATTCACTAAATCTTTGCAAAAGAAGAGAAAATAAAATCAATGGTTCAATTCATTCCCGAAAAATACGTAGAAGAAGAGTCCCCAAAAAGAGGAGACGCCAAAAGCAACTTGTTCAATGATTTGTCTTAAGAATGAAAATGTCTAGGGTATGTGTTAATTTGAGGTACTCATATTTGATTACAAAATTTAATATTTATAATGCTAATTAACAATGTTTTAATAAAATTCAAACTCATTTAGTTAATTAAAAATGACATGAACACTCCCTGCAAACAAAACCCGACCTAAATTTAATAATAAAAAATAAAATTTAATAATTTGTTATGTAAATTAAATTAATAAATTTAAAACAAAATTTATATTTAGACAAGTTATAATTAAAATAAGTAATTTATCAAATACAAGTACTATACATACTAAAAATAATATAAATATAAAATAAATAATAAAAATTTACCTTTATGAAGTACTTATTTACATGCCAAGTATTGCGGTCCCTAATCTGTCCACTTCGTTTTTACCGATTCAACTATTTTTGATGCAATATGTTGAAGGCATGAAAAAAGACAGTGGGAGATAAAGATGGGATTACTATTATAGGAAAGGACAAGGAGGACCAGGCTAGGCAGATAGGGACCTCAAAATGATTCCTTTAATCAGGACCGTCCAGTTGGTGGCGTGCTTCAACACTTTCAACCTTTCTCCTGTGGAGTGGAACTTGTATTTTCACATTAATTTGCAAAACTATACCTATCGTGTGTCACTGTCATTTTTAAGTGGATTGCTCCTTTCCCCATTGTAAGTACAAAGTCTTTTATATGAGTGAAAAATGTTGCTGGCTGCCGGACAGTCCTCAATCCTCATGTAAGGGTTTTCATTCATCCACGTTACTCTGGGTATATTATTCAACATGAAGCTGACAAGATCGCATTCTAGCTCACTGTTTTTTCTGATTCTTCACCTTTCCCCGAAATCTGACTCCAAGTGATGGTTCGGCTTTGTAATTTGGTAGGGTACATGACCATTGGAACCGGCTCTCGATGTCGAACTGCTCATTCGCAATCCATAGTTGACTAGTAGGTCAAGTTGAACAGCCATAGGGCCAGCAATTCAAACTCGTTAAATTTCTATCCCTCCATAAATTGATTTTGGCTGAATGAAATTCAGCTGGATGTTTTTGCACCCTCTTGATGATTATGAAGACGTCTAAGTGATTAAAGTGTATTGAAATTTTCAAGCAAAAACGGATGTAGTATCGAGAGCAATACAAAAATAAATCAGAAATAAGAGTGGCTTAGTTCTCTTATTTATATCTAGAAACGAAAGAGAAAACTATAATGTTGAAGATTTGAAATAATACAAAACAAACATTGAATCCAAGTTTTGAAACAAACTCAATTTTCATACTCTTTAATCTTTAAACTTATGAAATATCATCTATCTCATGTAACCCGATGCTTTCTCATTCTTCATATCCTTACATTGTGTGAAACTTCATAGAAAATTCATCTCTCACGTTAAGATTATATCTTTCTCACAATTCTAAAAGTTAAAACTCACTCTATATTTATGGAGTCCTATTACCTTTTTTTTTTTTTGATCGATTTTGTTGATGAGAGTCAATTACAAACCAAGAGTCCAACACCCATAAAAGCAGGTCTGGACCATGAGTACGAATATAATATAATAAGAAAAGTGTCAATACCTCTAGAGGAATGAGAAATTCTCTAAAGCATTCAGTATGTTTCATTTCTTTAATCGAAAATTTGCAGCCGCTGCCTTTAAATCTTCCAACAACACCAATTCTCACTTAGATCTAGAAATTCGTTGGAGACTTGGAGTACCATTGAATTAATCAAGTATTACTCTACTAGCTGCTAACACCTTATTGTAGCAAATCCCCAACGTTATGTCTTCGGTCTCATCACGAACACAATCCGCAACAACAAATTCCCTAAACCATAATTTTGGAATCACAACTCATGATTCATGATAGCATCATGATAATTCTCCAATCATAGCTTTAGTATTAATTTATCGAGATTTTCAGGTAAAAACATATTCCACATCAAAATCAACGCAAAAATAAATCACACAAAAGAAATAATACTTAACATGGTTCACTTGCATTGCCTACACCCAGGAACGAAAGAGAAAAATACTCCATAAACATGGAGTTTTCAAAGTGTACAAACATCCAAAAATAAACTCTATATCCAAGTCCGAAACAAATCAAATTCCATACTCTCTAGTGTTTAAACTCATGAAATATCCTTTATCCCATATATATAACATGGTGTGGTGTTTCCCCACTCTTCCTCACAACCCTACAACTCCACAAAACCCTCACAAAAAATTTATCTCTCACATGAAAATCACATAGAAATTACATCGTTCATAATTTTGACAGTAACAACTATCAAATCTAATCTTTTAAGTAAATTATTAATAAAAGAAAAATGGAAGAGAATCAAACATACTTTGTGGTTTGAATAGCATTACAGGTTACCCTGATCAAATTTATATTGAGAATCATATATCTAACTTTGTGGTTTGAATTGCATGACCTTTTTCACAGTTACCTTGATCGAAATTGGTCCCGGTAATTATGTACCTAATAAGTGTGAGACATAAGGAAGGCAAATGCCAGAAAGAGATGTGAAAAATTCTTCTATTCAATCTATTTGAGTGAAAAATGAAGAAAACAAAAAGAAGAAAATGGCCTCTACTTCACAACAAGTACCTATACCTCTCAGCAATATAACTGCTTGATTGATGACTATTCAAACTTTATATATATACTAAATCTGCCTTTTGAACAAATGAAAAAAGTCATCAATTGGTTCACCCACATGAGTGATGAACCCCATCGGCCATCACTTTCTTTTTCAATTTTTCACTGGGCAACAGATGTACATGGGCTGATATATCTCAATCTAATTCCACTGTTACATCAATTTCCCCCTTTACTCTCTCTTTCTCTCTTCTCTTATAAATGAATTTAAATAACAGCTTAAGAGCACGCGTTTCAAATTTTTGCAAGAACCTTTGATAACGAAAAAGGCCATCCACAAATTTAAAGAAACACAGCAAAAATAAAAAAGAAAAGAAATTTGTCTAGCAAGTCCATACAAAACAATAACATAAAAACAAACAAATCCCAGAGATCTCAACCCAAGTTGTGGTCTAGATCCAACCTTTCCACAGTCCACTCTCACTCTAAACAAACAGCGACGACAAACCCCCACCAGCTCATTACACATCGAGTGTCCCCTTCTCTCCTTCTCCGTTTAAGTCACCGGAAAAAAAATTCCACATTAACACAAAAAAATCCCATTTTCTACCAACACTTTTTGAGCAAACTTAGCCTGTTTCAATTTTCATGCTATAGTATATATCTGCATAGAGGATATATAAATATATATATATATATATATATATAGAGAGAGAGAGAGAGAGAGAGAGAGCGTACGCACTTTTTTCAATTTGGTTTTAATTCTTTGCAGTTTCGTTAATCTTTGAGGGGGAAAAAAGTGATTGAATTGATGCTAGCTGTGTCACCTTTAAGGAACACAACTAACGATGAGAACGAAGGAGAGATGGAGAGCTTCACTATTAGCTCGGAAGAGTTCCCTGACTTCGCTGATGGGAATTTACTTGAGAGTATCGATTTTGACGATCTTTTTGTTAGCATCAACGAGGGTGATACGTTGCCCGACTTGGAGATGGACCCAGAAATTCTCGCTGACTTACCCGCCAATGGAAGTGAGGGATCAGAGATGAACACATCAACAGAGAAAACTGATGAGGATAATAATCAAAGGAAAGAGGAGGAAGATAAGGTTTCGGGTTCAGGTTCAGGGTTAGGCTCGAGCTCAAGCAAAGGCGAGGAGATTGTTAGCAAAAGAGAGGAACCTACAGCTGTTAAAACACCTACCAAAGATGCTAATAAGGGAAGAAAATCATCAGTACAAGCGAAGAATAACAATCAAGGGAAGCGAAAAGTGAAGGTAATTACAAAATTTAAACTAGATACTAATTAGGTTTTCGTTATTACTAAGGTTTTTTTTTTTTAATACCAACTGCACAAGTCTCTCTCTCTCTCTCTCTCCTTCTCATCAATTATGGACCATTCACAGACTTCCAGGAGCACAAAGATATCACGGGAAGGATGGGAGTATGTGAATTATCCATGAGAGAGAAGCCCTTTGAAAAGCTAATTGTTTTTTTTTTCCTTTTTTTCCATGAGATCTAGATAGGATAAGTTTTTGGGTTATTTTGTCTCGCGGATTTATTCAAACTTGGAATATAATGGGGTATTGAAGTAGTGGGTTTCTTGAATTGTGTGAAGGTGGATTGGACGCCAGAGCTGCACAGGAGGTTCGTGCAAGCAGTGGAGCAGCTCGGGGTAGATAAGGCGGTGCCTTCAAGAATATTAGAGCTTATGGGAATCGATTGTCTCACTCGCCATAACATTGCCAGCCACCTTCAAGTACATAACCATTTCACTTCTAATATGCCTCATTTCCCTTACTTCTTGGCCCTTTTAGTATTATCTACGCTTACAGTTACAGACTGTTGAAGCTGCCACATCTATTTCTCTCCGTTTTTCTTTTAATTAACTTTGTTGCAAAAGAGTTTTCTTGATAAGAGAGAAAAGTCGTCGGACCGATGCTTCTAAAGTAATTTCATCAAGCAAAAAAAAAAACAACTTTGATTTTTTCCGATCTGCTCACAGAAGGATATGAATAAATATTTTTTGTTTAATTTTCTGCATAATCTGTTTCGATATGCATTTCATTGATTATAAATTTAACATGTAATACTGTTGGAAGGATTATTAATGCAAAACTTTCAAAGAGGAAAACATGTTTGTAGGCGTGCATATGTTGAGAAGAACAAAATTTTAATTCTATGAGCAGATATTGTAAGTAAATAAGGATTTATTTATTATACAAAATCTAGAATCTCAAATTTTTATAACTTGGACAATAACTTAGAAATTAAATTGAAACTTCAAATGAATTTTTTTTATCATATATTTTCTTGGTAAATGAATTTATGACAAACGGAGGGAAAGTGGTCTGAAGATGCATGACTATGGTTTGTTGTGCAGAAATATAGATCTCATCGGAAGCATTTGCTAGCTCGTGAGGCGGAAGCGGCAAGCTGGACTCACAGGAGGCAAATGTACGGGGCTGCCACCCCGGCTGGAGGAGGCAAGAGAGACATGAATCCTTGGCTTGCACCTACTATGGGTTTTCCGCCTATGTCACCCATGCACCACCACCACTTTAGGCCTTTGCATGTATGGGGTCATCCCACCGTGGATCAATCCCTAATGCACTTATGGCCTAAACATCTAGCCCATATACCATCCCCGGCCCCGCCTACTTGGGGTACTCATCCTCCTCCACCAGCAGACCCCTCGTATTGGCACCATCACCACCAACGTGTAAGCCCGCGTCTCCCTGTTCCCCATTGCACCTCAAAATGGAGATCTTACTAAAACATACATCAATAAGAGTACACATGCTACATAAAAATTTAATGAGCTCCTTAATTAATTTCTTTCTACCTATCCTGATTCCTGCTAAAAGTGGCATTTTCCTTCTCTTATTGCAGGTACCAAATGGACTAACCCCAGGAACACCTTGCTTTCCACAGGCGCTGGCACCAACGGTAACCAATTACTCTCTACTCTTTTGGAGGCTTATGTCTTGTTTGTATCTCGACTGTATTTAGATTCATGTAAATGTTATGCTGGCATCATGAGATTATATGGAGCTTTTTGATCTTAGTGGATATGATTCTTTCCATGCAGAGATTTGCTGCACCACCGGTCCCTGGCATTCCTCCCCATCACCCCATGTACAAAGCAGACCCCGGCATTGGCGTCCCGGCCGGACAATCAGGTCCCCACCCGCTCATTGACTTCCACCCGGTAAGTAGGTTCCACTTTGCTTTCAAGTACACCTCCGTTTTTATGAAGAAAATAAGTACTAGTACGAACAAATTAAATATTTTACAACAATTTCTTTTTTTATAATTTTTTTGGAAAGCAATTTCTTTTTTATTATTGCTGATTGGTTCCAGTTACGTTACTAAAATTTTAGTTCTTAGTTGAACAAAAATAAAGCAAATCTTGATTTTTCTTAATTCATATAAGTTCAAATATTCTTTTAATTATTTTATGAAAGTAACCTATAGAAATAGGTAGCAGAAGCTAAGCAAAAAAGGAAAGCTAGCAGAAATTGTTTATGCATACTGATTAGCTGTAAATTGAGTGGCAACTTTCTTATCTATACAAACATGCATGTTTATTTTGTTTTGGTTAGATCAGTTTATAATAATATGAGTAGTGGTAAATCCTTTGATAAAATTAACTTAATGGTGATAATAATGTTATATAATGTGGTGTGAAACAGTCGAAAGAGAGCATAGATGCAGCTATAGAAGACGTTTTATCAAAACCATGGCTGCCACTTCCTCTTGGACTGAAGCCGCCATCTACCGATGGTGTTTTGGGAGAGTTGCAACGCCAAGGAGTCCCGAAAGTACCACCCTCTTGTGCTTGATCTCCGATCCTAATTAGAAACATCCCTCCGAAGGCGTGGCTGTCCGTAATGGCGATTTCAAGACTGTGGAAACCCCTTAATTCGACGATATTACCCACGTTAGGAATCTAATGGTTCATGTAGAAATCTAATCTTCCGAGATTTTTTCCACTCTCTTTTTTTTTTTTTTAATTTTGTTGTCAATCTTTGGTAGAACTTGGTTGTTCTTGTTCCCTTGCAAGGACAGCTTTATTTATTACTCTTGCCGATCCATGTCTGATAATAAAGCCAATTTTGTAATGGTTGTACGAATGAGATTATAATAAGCAACTTATTATCAAGAGACCTCAATAGTATGAAGCTTAAGTAGAACATAGCTATTGTGTCACGGTCTACACCAATCTCTATGAGATATTGTTTGCTTTGGCTCACTAGTCTCACAATTTTGTCTCATAAAAGAGATTTCATAGGTTAAAGGAATGTGAACCCTTATATGTCTAGTATCAGTCTAGTACATAATGAATGTGAGATTCACGTCTATGCGATGTGGGACTTTATAACTTTACACGCTGAAAGTATTATCTTGACGATGTAAGATTCACGTCTACGCGAGAACCGTGACACATTACATGGCTTTTCATGAACCATAGAAAACCTATTCATAGGCATTGCATGGTTTCCTTCTAATCATTGTTTTGCTATTGAAGTGGAAAGAAACACTTGCAAATTAAATTTGTATAGGAAGATATTGTCACCAAGATTGTTGGGAGCATTCTAAATTAATTTCTAGCCACTAATGTAACATCAACTTAATTAGCTTTACTGCATAAGCACATGCCTTTATCTCAATTAGTCGTACTGGTCGTCTTTTTTGAAAGGATACTTGATTAGTAGACATCCCTCCAACTCTCTTGAATGTGAAGCTATTTTTATATATAAATTTTTTAGAGATTACTTTTAGGGTAAATTGGGTTGTTAATTTTACTACATAAAATCATAAAAATATTTTTAACTGTGAACAAATGGACTAACTTTGAATTACAAATATTTTGATAATTTTATTAGTTAAAATTAACAGTTCAACCTTTTGTGAGAACAGAAATTATCCACAATGTGTTAATTAGAAAAAACCATTTTCATAAGATTCTAATTAATTAGGGAAAAAATTACAAAGTGTCATAAGAAAAGTTAAAATCACAAGAATTATAGGTGAAGTTTATCCTATAAAAATGAGAATTTAAATTAGTTGCCATGAACTTTTTAAGAGACTTGTTAAACATTCAACATTTCAAGATTAGACATTAAAGCTTATAATCATGTTGACTTTGTATTTACCAATTTTTGCTAATGAGTGAAGATACTTAATAAAAGCGTACTTTATTGTATTTTCTTTTAAATATTCGTTTTCCTATATACATCACATCACATTTCTTTTCTCTTTCTCTCTCTTTATTTATCTATCATTTCTATGTATTTAACATTTAAGACGTGTGGATGTTCCTTACATATGTAGCTATATGCAAAGATTCGATGCATTAATGATAAAACAAGACAAAATTGATGTATCAATTTGATGCATTTAGTGAGGTTTTTACCTTTTCTATATAATATGATTTTATATATATGGTCTGATATTCATCAATTTAGACTAAACATTAGTGAACAACACAGAACTTAATGAGTGTTTTTTTTTTTTAAATGGGTTTCATGCATAAGGTGTTTCTGACAATAAATTTCTTCTAATTTTAACTGTTTTTAGCCAGAAGAATTAAAATTTGAACAAAATTATCTTTAATGAAACCTACCCATTTGTTTAACTCTAAGCCTCAACCCGAAACCTATTAATAGGTCAAGCATGTTTACAAGATGTGTAACTCCTTAGTTCTTATCGACAGACTGTACATCTCCTCAAAAATATTTCTGTCAAAAGCATCCCTCGCTAGTTCAACTTTCGAGCATTTTTTGCAGTGGTAAAAGCGTTTTGGAGTGGTTATTATTCACATGAAGGTAGTTCACATATTGAGCAATGAGAAGAAGTTCACATTACGCGAAGAAAGGTATAATATATTTTTATTTTATTTTGAACCATGTGAAGAAATGTTTTTAGGACTATTGTTGTTCTTCATGCTTTTCATTTATGGTTTTTGAGCATAAACTTATGCATATTGCTTGTTCATATTGATATTTTTATTGTTTGAAATTGTTGAATATAAACATGAAGGTGGTATTGTTGGTGTTGTTGGGGTTGAAAGGTGACCGGGCATGTGTGATTGGTTGATTTGTATGCATTATGACTCTTTGAAAGAAATTGGATTTAGGGTTTAGATATTGCGTGACTGAGGGCTTGCTTACGTGATTGTCACCTTATGGATGATTGGATTTTGGCATAAGGTCACTTAAGATGTATGTGATTGCATTAAGGTTTAACATTGCATGACTGATTGATATTGCGTAACTGATTGATAAGTCATTGCATGACAGCATGATTGGATTTTGGCTTAGGGTTAGAGTGTGCATGATTGCATTAGGGTTTAACATTGCATGACTGGTTGATAGGTCTTCGGATGATTGGTTCATAGGCCATTGTATGACAGCATGACTGGATTTAGGCATGAGGTTAAGGTGTGCGTGATTGCATTAGGGTTTAACATTACGTGACTGGTTGATCGGTTATTGCGTAACTAATTGACAAGTCATTGCGTGACAGCATGACTGGATTTAGGTATAGCGTCTCTTATGCTATGCGTGATTGCATTAGGATTTAACAATGCATGACTGGTTGATAGGTCTTTTCATGATTGGTTCATAAGTCATTGCATGACAACATGACTGGATTTAGGCATGGGGTTAAGGTCTACATGATTGCATTAGGGTTTAACATTGTGTGATTGGTTGATAAGTCATTACGTGACTGATTGATAGGTCATTGCATGATAACATGACTAGATTTAGGCATAACGTCACTTATGTTGTGCGTGATTGCATTAGGGTTTAACATTGTGTGACTTGTTAATAGGTCATTACGTGAATATTGTTCAAGCATGGCATCATTTAGTGTGGGCATGATTTGATTAGTTGTTCTTAGCATTACATGACTTGTTTATAGATCATTACATGATTTAATGGTAGTAATTGCATGAATTATTGATAAGGCATTGCGTAATTATTTTTGTATGAAATTACGCGATGTCATAACTGCATGATAAGGCATTACAACGATTTAATGGCATGCATGCAGGGGAGTAAATCGGTCTAGAACTCACCGCACAAACACATCTTAGTGGATAGGTTGGCGATTGTGTTCGTAGTCTTGCCTTTAACTTGAAACTCCACCCGATCGATTGGTTGTATGGAAAAATGACATGCGCTATTGAACCGTGTGTTAAATAGATTGGTAGCCCAAGGGTTGAGAGACATGGTCAAATTCAATGCCTCATTGTGTTGGTCATGGAACCAACATTGGAACATGCCTCTTATGCACTCGATCAAGACGGTTATTAGCATTTTTTTTGCATGCCTCAAGAAAGAGTTAATACACTCCACAATGTTGGATGTCATTAGCTTGTATCACCTTATTGGTGACCATGCACATACCCATCTCTTAGGGCCTGATCTCATAAGGTGATCATAAACAAGTTTGCAAAGCTATTTCAACTGATTCATATGTCTGTTAAAATCGATGAGCTTATAGCAGTTGGTGGCCAAGGTGAAAATCTTGGCAACTTCTTCGCGCTTGAACATATTTTTAACGTTTTTTCCCTAAATGGTAATTGCATAGACCATGATGTGCATCCTTGTACATTTTCTCAACTGCATTTTTAATGCCAAGATGTTGATCAGAAATGAACATTGCATTTTCAAGACAACCAATCGTACAACGCAATTAGTTAAGAAATAACGACGAAGATTCTTTGTCGTCCACGTGGCTAATGGCAAATGCAACTGGATATATCTACACATTCGTATCTTTGCATACCTCAACAAACAGAATACCCTTCAATTTGCATTTCAGATATGTGGCATCGATAATAACTACAGGTTGCATTACAACATTAAACCCCTGGATACATGACCCGAATGCCTAGAAACAATATTTGAATCATTGTTCCCCATCCGTAGCTACATTTGTGATAGTATTGGGGTTTTCATGTTCCAACATATGAAAATACGAGGGGAGGAGTTGGAATGACTCTTCCGGAGGACCGAACACAAGACTCTTAGCATAGTCCTTTGCTTGTTAACCTTACCATATAAGCATTGCAATCCTCGTTTGTGATTCATCTCTTCCATTATTTCTTTAGGTCTCAATGGGGTTACATAATTTCTTTGCAGCCTAGTGAAGATAAGCTCACTAATTAACCGTGAGCTTGCAGTTTGGTACCTATATTGCAAACCATCAACAGTACAAGTGTGTACCTTTTACAATGTCCGAAGTTGCCAATATTCTCCCTCAAGCAACTTTGTTGCACACAAAGCAAACTTATATGCCTTCTCCTTACAACCAACCTCAAAATGAGCATGACATGACTTTTTAAATCTAATGTCAAAATGCTTTTTTAATGCCAACATGCTTAAAGCTTATTTCAATTTGGCTTTCGATGGAAACACCTTTTCATGATATAAGTGGTCGTCTATTGATCTGGATTCCTCACTTACAACTGTTTAGAAGGATATCATATCTACCCTAAGAATAATCCATTAACGAGATACCCCTATATTTACCCTCTTTTGATTACTATCATTAGGCAAGCGAATGTAGTTCTCAAGTGCGATGGTGTTTTTGTAAATAAGGTCGACACCCTCAACATTTTTTAATTCAACAATTATGGTATGGTCATCACACTGAACCTCTTCTAACACAATAGTTATGGCATCTGCATGATTGCAATATGGAATGTCATTGTGTTCAACCTTGTCGTTCTTTGAACAGTCATCATGCCTGTTAACGTAATCATTTTCATAGTCGTCATGCAACTCATCGTTCAAATCCGCCATGTTGTCCTCTTTAACATCATTTTCAATTTGATCAGATGCATCGTCATCACTCACAACCATCAAAGTGTCATTTACGAATGACAATGGACCGACTTCATTTTCGAGCGACAGTTGCGTTTGTTGCAAAGTACCAACTATTTTGTTCGATGCACATTCTGATTGGAATTATGCAGACATCATTTGTAGGCACGTCATGTGTGTGCCAGGTCATTCAAACTCATGAGGATACGTTAAACGTGATTGCCATGGTTACTTGTTAGTAAATACATGGTGTAATATGTTAGAATAATTAACATTCTGTTGTAAGTGATTACTATGTTAGATACCATGTTCATGTGGAATATCGTTTGCATTTTGTACCTTAGCTGTCACAAACACAACCACTACCCTCTCATCTCGCAAAATACTTGCTATATCTTCATCATCCCTGATGATTACGCATGAAACCCCTACGGCATGACTGAGTGATGGATGTAGCTCGATTTCATTATTATGTGAGTTAACCCTAACAACCTCTTCAACCAACTCTATTAAGCCCAAAAATGAGAAATCACTCCCAACACCCCTGACTCATGTCTCACCACCCTTGTAAATGTCATCAACCCAATGACCTCTGTATATAATCATAAACTTCACATTTGGTAGGTCGCTAAAATTTAACAAAAAATAAATATCACAATCAGTCAATTTATCAAAAATTGCCCCTCAATGCATAAAAATCACTTATGCAATGCCTAAGTCACGGAATAACAAAGAGTCAATTTCACAATGTCTAATACACATTCATGCAATGCCTAAAAACTAGTAAACAAAAGCCTCAAAACAAACGATGAATTGCACAAGTCACACACCGCCAGTCTCACAATATCCAATAATAAGTCATTCAATGCCTCGTATTCACTCACATTATGCCAACATAACCAGTCACGTGCAAGCCCAATGTCACGCAATACATAACAACAGGTCACGCAACTCATAAAAATCGACCACACATGTCCAAAAACTAGTGAACAAAAGTCTCAAAACAAGAGATGAATTATACAAGTCACACACCGTCAGTCTTGCAATACCTAATAATAAGTCACTTAATACCTAATATCCACTCATATTATGCCAACATAACCAATCATGTATTGGCCCAATGTCATGTAATACATGACAATAGGTTACGCAATACATAAAAACTAATCACGCAATGCCTAAAACTAATGAACAAAGTCTTAAACAAGAGATGAATTGCGCAAGTCACGCAATGTCAGTCTCGTAATATCTAATAATAAGTCACTTAATGCCTAATATCTACTCACATTATGCCAACATAACCAGTCACGCAATGGCCCAATGTCACGCAATACATAACAACAGGTCATGCAATATATAAAAACCAATCACACAATACCTAAAAACTAGTGAATAAATGCCTCAAAATAAGAGATGAATTGCACAAGTCACACATTGCCAATCTCACAATACCTAATAATAAGTCACTAGATGCCTAATATCCACTCACTTTATGCTAACGTATCCAATCACGTACGAGCCCAACGTCACGCAATACATGATAACAAGTCACGATATACAAACAAACCAGTCATGCAATGTCTCAACAAAAGATATACATTTCACAATTAACGCAGCGCCTATAACTTAGTCTCGCAATACCTAATAATAGGTCATGAAATGCCTAACATCCACTCACATTTGTTTCTCTTATATAAATAGAAAATTAAGAAATTAGTGTAAGTAACCAAGTTATTCAGCATAATATAAATTAAACCAAGAAAATATGTGATCAATCAATATTTTTATTTTATTCATTAGCCAAAATAAAAAGTAGATGATACAAAAGAAATATGAACCATAGTTCATTTCTTCCTAATCTCATCTATTATTTCATAAATTTCAACTAGAATCTTGTTATTGCCCAGAATTTCTGTCTCGAGGACTTCTGTCCTAACCAGCAAGTTATCCATCAGCCCACGCATGTCTTTCTCCATCTTCTCAGCTTGGTCCATCAACTTGACTAGATTTGCTGCAACGTTATTGGGGATATCCTCTTGAACAACAACTCCCTTCCCACTTTTGACTCTAGAACATTTGGATGCCATTAGAAGTTTGAGATTTTCCTTCAGATGATTTTGATTAAAATGGATAATGGTTTCCTTTATTTATAGGCATGAATGCTAACCCTTGGCAATGTGTTTAATGGTTTTAGGCTTGTTTTCTAATGAATGGTTAGTTCGTAAATCAATGCATTAAGTGCTTTAAATAGAAATTCATAGTTCTGTGTTTGTAAATCAATGCATTTCTAATGAATGGTAACCAGAATCTGGATGGTTTTTTACACTGATATAAGTGAAATTAAAGGGGCTAAATTGGTTATTAAGCATTCCTAATTCTCTTCTAATTTTAGAAAATTTGTTATTAAGGAGGCTGAATCAATAAATAATCAGCTTCAACATTAGGTGGATAAAGCAACGCAATTACTACAAATAAGTCATGCAATGCTTACAAACAAGTCACTTAATGTCTACAAACAAGTCACACAATGCACAACTCACACAATTCCTATAATCTACTATTGCATTGCCTCTTATCTAGTCCTAGGTCATCTAATATTCAGTCACCTAATGCCAAGTAAACAAGTTATAATTCTTAATATCCAATCACATACCCTAATATCCAATGACCCAATGCCTAATAAATATTCACGCATCACCTATAAACTGATTGATTTCACTACTCCCAACCAGATTTAAGTTTCCAAACTCATATAATTTACTCAACAACTTTTGCGTTGATGAATATAAAAAAATAAATTCAAGAACCCATAACAAATAACTTGATGTCATCTTTGCACTATGGGATGGTGAAAAAGTTAGATTGCGATATAGACATTGATGGTGTTGAAAAGCTAGACAACGAGATATATACCTGATGGCGTTGGAGCACTGAACGGAAGGATAGCTAAATCGATATTTAATTTTAAAATTTTTATTTAAATGATGGAAGAAGAAAAAAAAGCCGAAAGCATTTAATTTCGATTAAATGATTTAAAAGGTATTCTAATGAAGTCATGTAAAAAATTATTTTAAAATAATTAAAATTATAATAAAAGTCATTTTTGAAGTGATCTTATTATGAAAATTATTTTTATAATTTTTTTTAATTTAATCATAAAAATTCATTAATTTGAAATGAATCTTTAATTTAATTATCAATGGTTCGTTCAAACACATTATTTAATTTATTTAAGATGAATTAAAGTTCTTGTGTTTACGATTAAGAAGCAGTGTTGCAAATTGTGGTTATCATCAAAGAACCGGCAGATGATTCTAACAGGGAGGAAAAACAACAGACAAAAAGTCAGCGAGTGCAGAGACTTAATAGGACCACGTTGTCAATTAGGGGGCCTCTGATTCGCTACAGGTGGGCCCACTTTTATGATCGCAGTGGTTGTGGCACGAATTTCTAGGAGTTGTCATTAAACAAAAAACTGAAAAAATTTGGAATCGAAAGGTGGTACTACTGTACCCTGAAAATGTGAATATCATTAAGAAAGGAACGGCACCTTTTTTTTTTTATTATTTAACTTCGGGCAAAGCTGAAAATGTGAACATCAAGTGAGAATTATTAATAGCCACAAGATTGAGTGAGAAAAGGTTTAGGGCCCACCCATGCATGGAAGTACTGTAAAATCCAACACGTTTGGGCCCACCAAGATGGCGACGTGGCAGACAGTTTGACAGTGACCCTCTCATCTAACATTATTTATTTATTTATTTATCGTTTGAAGTAACAGGAGAAAATCAACGTTGAGGAATAAGAAAAATGGATAACTGTTTCCGGAAATAGAAAGGCTGTTTATTTTAAGTAGGAAAATACAATTACCACTTTACCCTTTGTATTAGATTGTCTTCCTTCCGGCAACCCATAGCCACTGCCGATCAATACCCCCTGTTGCCAAAATCCAACCGGCTGACGATTACTGATCAACTGTGCTATTATAGACGGCTCCTCTCTACTCTGTCTCTCTCCTAAACCGAATCTAATTTAGAAATATAAAGATAAAATAGGAATTATGATTTTCCTCTTCATAAATAAAAAAGTTTCTATTTCCTTGTTAATTAGTAAATATTTCTTACCATGGTAGAAAACAACAAAAATTTAGTCCATTACCCTTCCTTGTAGTTTTCCCCAGGGAGAAGAAGAAAAGAAAAACAAAAAAAACTCTAAAAAGAAGTTTCTCAAAATATAATAGATGGCATATAATTAAATCCTGTTACTGCAATAGTCAATTATTTCCAGCTTGCTCTCTCGTTCTCTGTTCTCAATTCTCTCGTTATAAATTCGTAATCATGGACGAATCTACCTTTGGACAAGTAGTATTATATGACACCACTTATTTATATTAATTTTGTTAGACTTTTATGTAGTTAATGATGCTTATGAAATTATTAATTTTTTTACAATTTTGTAGAGAGTAAGGTTAAAGATTTCAAATTAAAGTTAATTTATCGAAAAGTAATTTATATATTGATATTTAAATATTATATAAAAAGATAAAAAAATTCTTTTTATGATTTAAAATTTTACTGAAAAAAAGAAAAACTTAAATTACACTCTCTCTTCAAAAGTTTAAGTCCTACTCTGAGTATGAAACCACTCAAAAAATTCCTGACTTTGTCTTGTTAGTAATGCATGGATAATTGGACATGGTTCATCTTTTCTCTCTTAACTCTTTTCAAAAGTTTTTATTTTATTCTGTATTCAAATTTGTTTCTAACTTTTAATTCATTTATTGACACAAAAATAAGAGACAATCATCTCTTGTCCAAAAGTTTATGCCTTAAAATATTCAAACCTTTTAAACTTTTTCTTCAGAAAGTAGATTATTAGGAATTTAACCTGTTCTTTTTCTATGCCCCTTGTGCATTTCAAAAAAACAAATCCAAGCATGGTTTTTTAAATCCTTTAGTGGGTTAATATTTCTGTTACATTTGATACATTTTTTAATGTAATTAAAAAATGTGTGATGTTTTTTATAAGTAAGATTTAATTGAGATTTTGTTTATTATTTTGATAAAATCCATCCTAAACTTCTCCTAGTGTTGAACTGTTGATCACCCAGCCCACCCTATGCGAGGAGCTTGAGATCATCAAATGCCCCGTTGTTGTACTAGGGTCCTCGAGGATCCCTTGAGAAATTGGGCTGGGCTTGGCAAGCAGTTAGCAATGATATGTTTCCTTCTATTAGGGCCAACATCCTTAAAAGAGTGAGCTTAGGGACTTTCAAACAAGCCTGTAATTTACCCTAATAAGCCCACTTGCAAAACTAGATGCCTCATTATTGTGCCCGAAAGCCAATTTGTTTATTCATTTATACTTTTACTTTGAGGGTACAAATTACACAGCTAACTTGTTTAACTTAATCATCATCTTGTAACCAAAATTTAACATCTAATTAAAAAGGGTGGACCTTTTTTCAGTCTACCTCATTCTTGGATGTAGAGGATTGTTCATTAATGTCGAACTACTTTACTCTTTATGACTACAAAATATAACCTGATTTTTTATATTAAATTTGGTAGTCCATCTCTTGAAATATAGATGTAGGAAATAACTTAAAATTCTAAAAAATTAATGTAAATTACTTGGGAGATAATAAAAATTAACAATGAATTTTAGTAGTTGGGTACTCGAGTTCAATTATGAAGAGCACGGTAGGTTTTAATTGATACTCAAAACAAAGTTGATCAGTATATTATTATTAAATGAGCCTGCTAAATTTGAATATACATGAGCCCTCAATGTCATATTTTTCTTTTATTTTTTTTTTTAAAACAAGGTCAAAATGTTCACACACCAGAAAAGATGTCAAAAGTAGGAAATATTAGGGAGTCATGGGACTTCAATTTCAAGCGTCCCCGGGCGTCACGCCAGCTAACCATCTAAATTCCTTCAAGATTACTCAAAGAAAGTAATGACTAGAGTGTACCAAACATCACCTACTTAACCTGGCCAATGCAGAGAGTAAATTTAGCTTGGCCATGAAGCTCAAGGCTTTTGGTTTGCAGTGCAAATATGTGATTGGTGGATTCAAAGGGAACTGTGAGAAAATGGAGAGAACATTGAGGCATGAAAAGGGGAGATTAGTCTGTCTGCCATCGGTGGTCCAGGAGCTAATTAAACAAGAGCATGTGCAATCCAAAATGACATATATAGATGTCGGCTAAGTTTGGCATGAACTTGAATTCAAGCAACATGCGTCTCCGTTGCTCTTCAAATTGAAGGAATGTCAATTTCCATCTCAACAACAACGTTTGAGGTTATCAAACGCAATGATTTCCCCTGATCAACCACAATAGAAATTAAAACATCCTACGCCATTGCTCAGTATATATATTCCACGAGAGCAAAATGAAAGATTAGCATATATATATGGATGGCATCATTCCTTGAATTAATTATCACAAGCTAAGCCAAGAGAGCATGCCGATGTCAAAGCAATGATTCTGGCCTGAGCTGATCACAAAAAGAAGGGAGGAGATTTCAGTTTTCAACTTCTTTTCTTGTAGATAGATATAGTATACACCTAACTAACTTAACTGATATGCATATAGGACCCATTTTCATTCCCCACAACCCTTTAGAGAAAGCAAAAGAGAGGAGCCTGATCATTCAGCCGGTAGAAAAAAGAAATTAAAATAACCTCCTTTTTGACTGAGATCATTGAAAATTTTAGGTGTCTCGCTTGTTAGACATATTCATGGAATGCACATGCTGCATGCCCTACATGTCATCATTTTCTTTCACTTTCCTCAATCGGCGCATAATTGCCCGGTCATCAAGAGAGCAACAAGGCCCTATAAAAAGAACTTCATAACTAGTGGAGCTTGCCATCGACTTACACTACTATTTTCCCCATGGCTTCCTTTGCAAAGCGCTTTACTTTTTTCTTCCTTCTAATGCTATCCTCCTCTGTCCAGATTCAAGCTAGGGAGAGCAAGTTCTTTAGCAAGATCTTCCATCTTGGGGCCAGAATTTCTCCTGATGAGGTGCCTACACCGACGCCAGCACCAGCACCAGCACCAGCACCAGCACCGGCTAACTCTGAGAGTCAAGATCCTTATTATGGCCTTTATGGTCAGGGCTCTGGTATGTTCCCTCCTGCAAAAGATCCTGTAAGCACTACCCACACTCCCACCGCTACTACCACTTTCGAAAATGATCTCCTCGCTGAAGAACTTGAAGATGAAAAATTTGAGACGGGCTATGAGAAAAACAGCTACAACAACAACGGCTACACCACTAGCAATTACAACAACAATGGCTACACTACCGGAAAATACAACCACAACAACGGCTACACCACCAGCAATTACAACAACAACGGCTACACCACCAGCAATTACAACAACAACGGCTACACCACCAGCAACTACAACAACAAAGGCTACTCAAGCAGCTATAAGGCTAATAGCTACACCAGCAATTACAACAACAATGGGTATGAGACTGAGAGACAGGGAATGAGTGACACCAGATCTGTGGAAGGTGGCAAGTACTATTATGACGTGAAAAATGTGAATTATTATCCTGAAGGATATGAGTCAGGTAAAGAAACTGCTAAAAATGAAGGTTACTATGGAACTACAGAGAACTCCAATGAGTTCAACTCCATGGAAGAGTTCCAGGAGAGCCAAGAAGAGTATGTGCCCTGATGTTGTTCAGGAATGAAATAGACACTACAGTGGATACATTTAAAGTCCAGGAAGACTAAGTTATGGGAATCTTTCATGTTTTATTTTCTAGTCTCACTTGTTTTTGCACAATTTTTAAGCTTTGCAAATCAAAAAGGATTGGAGACTATACCGTTTCACATTGGACTTAATTGTATACATTTAAGGGTAGCTATTGTTCTCTTGATTCAAATCAACAAAATCAATTTGGGTTTGCACAATTATTAATCATGCGCTGAATTTAATATTCTGCAAAGCCCTTTTATACAATTGATCAAGAGATAGTAAACAAGAAAAAACCATATAAATGCTATTAAAGCAGCAACTCATTTTCTTTTTTCTCGTGAAGTAACATATATACAAGCAGTAATTACACTATCACAGGATAGATCCAATATAAAACTAGACCAAACCTGTACATGATGGTAATTGAACTTGACACCTCAAATTTTCAAAACCTTCTCCTCCTCCTTTTCCTTAACACTAAGACAAGACCTCATCAAAGGTAGATTTTAGTCGGTCACAAATTAATGATATATATGATCTATTCAATTCCTATTGAACGTCATTAACCCTAAGCAATATGTTAAAGCTTGCTTGATTTCAAGCCTAGAAACGGTGGCGGCTGGGGAGATACATGCTCAAAAATCGAATTAAATAAGTCCAAAAAATGGCTTAGAAATTTAAAAAAAATAAAAATCAATAAACTTCCTGTAAGAGGAAAAAAATTATCAGTTAATTACATACTGCTACGTGGATTTAAAAATATCTTAACCATGTAATTAATTATAAAATAATTAATTTATTAGTTGAATTATTTGAAAGACATATAGTTGAACCAATTCACTTATGGATATATATATTTATCCTTTGAAATTATTTGAAGATATCATTTAAATTAGACCAATCAAAAATTAGTTATTGGTCATCCAATTTATCTCTAAATAAATCAAACTAATATAGAGATAATATTCATATTTTTGACCAATCAAAATTTAATTATTGGTCATTTAATTTATCTCTAGTAATTATAATAATTTAAAGACAAAATCAAATTAGATTATTTAATTTATCTCTAAATAACTTAGATAATTATATTTAATTGATGAGAATGTAATTTCTTTGAATTATTTTTAAATTAATTTAATTTATTTAAAAATAAATTATGATAACTCATTGAAAGTCTTTTGATTGGCCGGACTTTAAGTCATTAATTTATTTAAAAATAAATTATGTTAATGCATGCATTAACAATGGATCCTAACAAACTTGAGCAATAAAAAAAAAAACTTACCACCAACAGATTTTTTCTGCTCCCATCCAGCCATAAACTTCTCGTACAGATAAAATAAAACTTAATTTAGAACAATTAAAAACACATTCTAGGCTTTGTGGTTCTTGAAAACTATCCTCCAATTTGCCAAGGTTTTCAGCCCATAGAGATATCTAATAACCATAAACCTACATCCAACAATACTGGTGCAACTAATAAATCTAAATAGGAATTTAGGCAAACATTAAATATATTTTATACCCCAAATATACTATTCTCCATGCTCTATAAACCAAAAAAATAGAAGTAGTAAGCATAAATAACTGTCTGGCAGTAGAGATAGAATCCCAAACCTAGCGATGCGAGAGGGCTTTCTTTCCATTCATGGTTTACTTTAAACTCCCTTCATCAAGTTGTATTTAGGTTTCAAGATCTATTAAGTGGTGATCAAGCAATTAGAAGCATTAAATACAAAATTAGAATAAATAATTTATGTTCCATTGATCATAAGCTAAAGAAAGAGAAAAAAAATTCAAACTACATATTAAGTTCAATTGCAATCCTAAATAAATAAATTTAGTTCAAAACTACTATTAAAAACACAATCCAAAGAAAATTAACCATCAATATAAGTCAAAGAAAGTGAAAGAAGAATAAAAGTAAAAAGAGAAACTAAAAATTGTCAAATTTTGAATCCTTAATCTTCCTCGTTTTTCCTTACTTTCTTGCTTGCTTGACAGTTACTTTTTTTCTCTAGAAACCCTCTCTAAATGTCCTCTTATATTGCTCTCAAAAGTGCCCTTTAAATATCCCTAAAAACCTAATTTTCTAAAAAAAAATTTGAAAAACTAAATGCTAGGTTTGTCGGGTTAGCACCACGGCCATAGTCCTTGGGCGCTGCAATGCCCTAACCTTGGGTGGAAGTATGGTGTATTAATTCTTCACAGCACCATGGCTCTCCTCTATCAAAGCCACGACGCTATCCTCTCTAGTTAATGTATGATGCCTTTCACATCAGGACGCCGTGGCCCTAACTTCTTTAAGGCCGTGACATTGGCTCCTTCGTGCAGATTCTACTGTAGTCCATCATCTTGTGATGCGATTTTCTCCTTGCTTTGATCAACTGAGTGAAGTAGTAAACATTAAAATTGTAGCTTTGTCTCTTAACTTTCTAATGACTTAAGAATCACATAATTTGGATTTATATAATGAGAGTTATGCTTAAAATATTGTAGTATGTAAAAAAAAAAAAACCATTAACCATACTTATACGGTTCATCACCAATTGAGGTCTTTTCATTTGAGAATTTTCAAGAGCAATAGACTGAATCAGTAATAACTAAACTAAAAGTAATTTATCATAAAATTAAACTAAAACAACTCAAATTAAAATAACTCAACATGGTCTTAGCTAATTAAGAAAAACGACTAAAAACACTTAATTTTAAACATAAATATCAAGAACTTAGTTAATTAGGTACTAAACATGTAACAAAATACTTTATGTATAGAGTTATCACATAACAACTTTCCTACTTTCATTTGAACAAATAATAGCAAGAATAATTTGTAGATACGAAATCACAAAAACATACAAATAGATGTCTTAATACAACAAATAATCGACCAAAACTCTATCAAAAAAAATTTGTATATAACTAACAAAATAATAACACAATAGAAAATAGAACTATAATTACCCAAACAAAGCAAGAGATATAAATACTTTAAAGACACATGTCAGCCGATATATCCAACTACAGATACTTAAAGAATTAAGAAAGATAGCTTAGGAATTGTCAACAATAAACCCAACCAACTTAGGAATTGTCAACAATAAACCCAACCAACTGCGAGGATAAAACAAAACATAAGGATCAAATAATACATATTTTAACACGTTTACAACAAATGTAACAATAAAACAATCCATTGAAATATAAAAACTAACTTACAGTTAAGTTTCAAATGTAAACAATTCATATGAAACATTTTAGTCACAAAAACTCATACGATAAAAGACAATACAATTATTTGAATAGTTATCCAAAAGTTCATCGATGCTATAAGTAAATTCATCATAAAACTATATTAGAAACTTGGCAAAAGACCAGTAAACGTATCAAGTAGCCTATAATGAGAAAACAATCAAAATAAGAAGCAGTAATATTTAATACAATAAACTAATGCAGACTTGCAAATAGTAAATTCATAAAAAAGAACTTACTTGCACGTAACCTCTGTATAAATAATATTAACATTTCAAATCAAAAAAGCAAAATATTATATTAACTATCCACTACAACAAAACATCCAGAAACCAAATAACACATGCAGAATAAACCCAACTATAACATTCAAACTAAAAAACCAAATTAAAAAAGCAAAAATTTATATTAACTCTTCACTACAACAAAACATGTAGAAGTCAAATAACACAAACAAAACAAACCCACATGCACCATTCAAACCGGAAAATCAAGATATTATATTAAATTTTCAATAATTGTAACAATGAGACCAAACAATAAATTAAAAAAAAACAATGAAATTGTTGAAAAAAAAAATGAACATGAACACACATCTACCATATAAACTAAAAAACCAAATTAAAAAAATCAAAATATCATATTAAGTATTCACCACAGCAAAACATCCAAAAGTCAAATAACAAAAACAGAACAAATCCACAAGTATCATTTAAATTAAAAAATGAAGATAATGCATTAACTTTTCAATAACTATAGCAAAGAGACAAAGCACTAAATTTTTTTTTAAAAAAAAACCAATGCAATTGTTGGAAAAAAACTAAAAGAACAAAATTTGTATCCCTAAAAATGAAATTGACAAAACCCAAAAAAATACAGCTAGAACAATCCAACAAACTAATAACAAAATTAATAAAATAAAGAACAATGAGTGACAATGATAAGCAAAAAAAAAAA